GCCATCAAGGATGTTGTTGGGTGTTTTTGAGTCAGTTTTACTCAATGTCTCAGAGCAAATGCGTAAACTTCCAAATCCTGAACCATCCTCACTTGCTCTTAAGTTTGAAACCATATTTTCACTTCTAAAAAGCATTCTGAGAAATGAGTGCAATGTCCTCCTCTTGTGAGACATTTGCTATCTTGTGAAAATCAAAGTTTTCTTTCCAACAAGTGTTCTCTTCCTTGGGACCCCAATGAGTAATCTTACAAATGAGTCCTCGAACCAGACAGGTCAGTTCAGTTCACCTGTTCCCCTCTATGCCTGGAACACTTGTTTCTGCATCAAAGGAGACAGTGGGTAGCAAGCATCATGAAGGATATGCCACAAGTTTAGCCCCAGAAGTCACCCCAATCTTTAGTCAGTTACTACCCACAGTGCACGGGAAGCACTGCAGAGAGACCTCCAGAGGCCTGCCCTCGGGCTGTAAAAGATCAGTGAGCTCAGGACATTTGAAATCATGCGTTTCACTCTTGAATCTGTGCATGCCTGTGTTACATTGTCAACAGATTTTGAGTAACAGATAGGATGAGAATGACCATGATTATCTGTTTGTCGAGAAGGACAATGGGTCATATAGGATGACTATGACGTTTCAGAATCACTTTAATATTTGTTCCTCCCTTCAAGCTGCAGTGAGGAGAAAATTGAGAGGATGGTGTGGTGGGGAAAAGAAAAACTATCCCAGGGGATGCTGAGAGGTAAGAGAGGAAGCCCTCATTCAACAGGAAATACTCCCTGCCATCCATCTGTACTTGTCTAGGGCTGGGTGTTTGTGCTCAGTGGGTCCTGAGTGCCCCCTGCTGCCCAGTGTCTTCCCTGCAGGGGAGGTTTGTGTGTGGGCTCACTGACTTCCATCACTGTGCTCCGGCACAGTAATACACTGCCATGTCGGAGCTCAGCTGCAGAGAGAACTGATTCCTCGATGTGTCTCTGGTGACGGAGAGTTGGCTCAGGAAGGACAGGCTATAATCTGGACCATCATCATAATCTCTGTATCCCATCCACTGCAGTCCATTCTCTGAGGTCGGGCAGATCCAGTTCCAGTTGTAACCTGTGCTGGTGATGGAGACACCAGAAACAGTGCAGCTGAGGAACAGCTGCTGGGAGGGTTTCACCAGTCCTGGCCAGGACTCCTGTGGCTGCACCTGGGACAGAATGCCTGTAAATAAAGATAATTGGAATCCATCAGTCACTTG